TGTTCGAGTCCGAATTTGGAAATTTGACATTAGACAAGATTTGTAGCCACCTGAAATAGCTTTCTAATGCCGCCGAAACCAGTCGATTTGGAGTCCGGATGAGAAAGTTATGCTCGACTTCGTGGACACTACCGAAGATGTTGAGGGATCCTCTCTTCTATTTTGATTTTATTTTCCTAATAGCAACTCTTTTCTTACTCTTTGATCTTTTTTGCTTCATGGACACCTAATTATCAATTTGTACCTATGGAATACTAAATCCTCCAATTAAAACAGAAATATAAATTAGTCCATAAAAAAATCCACGTAAACGTAAACATTGAGTGTTATTTCTACACTCGGCTGTATCATTTGTATCTTGTGTGTTTGCTGTTGTTTGGTTATGCGCATTAAAGTCCTAGTGTTGTACTCCGTGTTTTTAAGAACGTTGTTGCGAATGCACTTTTGCGCATGTTTTTCTACACGTTTGTGCATGTCCATTTGAGCGAGTGTGTTTGTGCATGTTTGTTGATTTGTATTAAAGTCCTAGGATTGTAGTTTGTGTTTTCATGATCCTTTTTGCGAATGCTGTTTTGCGTGAGTAGTTTTGTGCATGATTTTGTACTTTTACTTATGTGCGTATCCTTTGTAGCGAGTGTTTTTCTGCACGTTTCTTGATGCGCATTCGTGTCCTCGAACTGTACCGGGTATTTTCATGATCGCTGTTGGAATCAAATTTTGACCATGTTCGAGTCCGAATTTGGAAATTTGACATTAGACAGGATTTGTAGCCACCTGAAATAGCTTTCTAATGTCGCCGGAACCAGTCGATTTGGAGTCCGGATGAGAAAGTTATGCTCGACTTCGTGGACACTACCGAAGATGTTGAGGGATCCTCTCTTCTATGCATGACGTGATCTGCCTAATGGCAACTCTTTTCTTACTCTTTGATCATTGTTGCTTCATGGACACCTAATTATCAATGTGTACCTATGGAATACTAAATGCACCAATTCACACAGAAATATAAATTAGTCCATAAAAAAATCCACGTAAACGTAAACGTTGAGTGTTATTTCTACACTCCACTGTATCTTTTGTATCTTGTGTTTTTGCTGTTGTTTTGTTATGCGCATTAAAGTAGTAGTGTTGTACTCCATTTGAGCGAGAGTGTTTGTGCATGTTTGTTGATTTGTATTAAAGTCCTAGGATTGTAGTTTGTGTTTTCATGATCCTTTTTGCGAATGCTGTTTTGCGTGAGTAGTTTTGTGCATGATTTTGTACTCTTACTTATGTGGGTAATCTTTGTAGCGAGTGTTTTTGTGCACGTTTCTTGATGCGCATTGGTGTCCTCGAACTGTAGCGGGTATTTTCATGATCGCTGTTGGAATCCAATTTTGACCATGTTCGAGTCCGAATTTGGAAATTTGACATTAGACAGGAATTGTAGCCTCCTGAAATAGCTTTCTAATGCCGTCGGAACCAGTCGATTTGGAGTTCGGATGAGAAAGTTATGCTCGACTTCGTGGACACTACCGAAGATGTTGAGGGATCCTCTCTTCTATTTTGATTTTATTTTCCTAATTGCAACTCTTTTCTTACTCTTTGATCATTTTTGCTTCATGGACACCTAATTATCAATTTGTACCTATAGAATACTAAATCCACCAATTAAAATAGAAATATAAACTAGTCCATCAAAAAATCCACGTAAACCTAAACGTTGAGTGTTATTTCTACACTCCACTGTATCTTTTGTATCTTGTGTTTTTGCTGTTGTTGGGTTATGCGCATTAAAGTCCTAGTGTTGAGCTCCGTGTTTTTAAGAACGTTGTTGCGAATGCACTTTTGCGCATGTTTTTTTACATGTATGCTTGTGCATGTCCATTTCAGCGAGTGTGTTTGTGCATGTTTGTTGATTTGTATTAATGTCCTAGGATTGTAGTTTGTGTTTTCATGATCCTTTTTGCGAATGCAGTTTTGCGTGAGTAGTTTTTTGCATGATTTTGTACTTTTACTTATGTGCGTATCTTTTGTAGCGAGTGTTTTTGTGCACATTTCTTGACGCGCATTCGTGTCCTCGAACTGTAGCGGGTATTTTCATGATCGCTGTTGGAATCCAATTTTGACCATGTTCGAGTCCGAATTTGGAAATTTGACATTAGACAGGAATTGTAGCCACCTGAAATAGCTTTCTAATGCCGCCGGAACCAGTCGATTTGGAGTCCGCATGAGAAAGTTATGCTCGACTTCGTGGACACTACCGTAGATGTTGAGCGATCCTCTCTTCTATTTTGATTTTATTTTCCTAATTGCAACTCTTTTCTTACTCTTTGATCATTTTTGCTTCATGGACACCTAATTATCAATTTGTACCTACAGAATACTAAATCCACCAATTAAAACAGAAATATAAACTAGTCCATAAAAAAATCCACGTAAACCTAAACGTTGAGTGTTATTCTACACTCCA